ACTATTGAATGTTGTACCAAAAGGTTTTGCATTTGGAGTTTGCTTGCTTACCAGTTCCAATGTGAGAATCTTGAATTACAACATTGCTAGAAGTAGAAATGTCTATTCCATCGGTGTTTGGGCTGTCCTCAGGTGCAATAATGTGGATATTAGATATGCTGACGCCTTTACAGCCACTAATAGCAATATGGATCCTTGGACTGTTAAGATGGGTGAGTCCATGTAATCGAAGTCCATTGCAGGAGTTAAAATTTAGAGCCTGCAAATGACAGATTGAATGATAAACAAATACTACCAGGAAGTAGATAAAATAAAAAGAAGTGGCTAATTCAGCATGAAGTTTCTCGGAAATTAAATGGGAAACTTACTCCAGGTCGCTGCTGGCAGCTAAGAAAAGACCCCTGAGAATAAAAAATGGATGTTTTCAGACGTTAGATTGATGAAATATTAAGGTGAAAGGAAAAGATTAATTGGGTTAGGGGTGATAAAGTAACAAGTGCTTGCAAAAGTTGCCTTTATCATGCAAGATTTCCACCAATCGGAACCCTGCCCGTCAATCTTCCCATCTCCATCAAGGATAAGATTGTCAATCCATGCGAACTGAATCCAAGTGTTTAACGCATCCCCTGGCCACGAAGTGCTTAGGGGTGCAATGAGTGTCCCTCGAAGCTGCGTCAAACAAACATAATATAGCAATATACAGCAAAGTTATTATAAATTGGAATGTTAAAAGAAGACGAACAGGTCCAAATATCATTTTTTTTGACAAAAAAATATGTATTCTTGCAATATCGACCAACCCTTTAAAACTCTACTTTTTCTCGTATCAATACATACTGAAATGTAATACGTGACGAAAAGAGTTATCAGCAACGGAACAACTTGGGTGTGCCTGAACTAATTTTACCTGAAAATGAATGCTGTTGGCCTTGCATGGACCCTTAAAAGCAACTGGTTTCAGCAGGAATGTTTTCCCTGGCGGCACGTAAAGGGTTGCAGCCTCTTGACTCGTATTTGCACTACAAACATCTGTCCAAGCTTTGTTGAATGCCTTCCCATTCAACCGGGCAGTCAAAAACACAGTCAACATTTTCTTGTTTATTTGGAAATTAAATTATGACACGTAAACATGGAGGAGAGAAAAACGAGAGAGAGCAGGATTTTTACTTCTGAATCATCTGTTTGGCCATCTCCAGCCGCACCATAATCCACAACATCAAAAAATGTTGTTGCACCCTGGATTTCCTTTCCAGAAGCACGAGAATAATCCGTCGTTAAAGGCATGATCAGCCTGCTACATGAACAGGATGAAGCAAGCAAAAGAAAGACAGCAAAAGCAATAACACCTCGCATGATTAACTAAATTATCTAAAGGAACTCAGGAAAAAGAGAAAAATCGTGACTAGAATTTTCTGAAGACCAGGAAAAAGTATTTGGAGGAGATATTATATAAATTGCAATATTGGTAACACCATTGACGCAAATTAAGTAGCAATATCAGGTAAATAATCCCTTTGAATATGTTAAATATGCCGATAATTGATATTCTGATTACCCTTTAAGTAAGAGTTGATTGCATTCCTTGGGGGCCGGTTATTGACCTGATTTCTTTGCAATATTTGAAATTTCCAATTTTGGTGCATTTGTTGAAGCTTACCATGCCTGATTATTTACCAAAAACAATAGTCTCAATACTAACAGTATAGTGTTTACATCTTGGCTAAAAAGTGATTATTTACTGAGATTTATTGTTTAATGATGTATATTATAGTAAATACAAAAAATAAAATAAAAGCACGTCCCCTGAAACTTAGATGGCCATGCCTCTTGAAATTTTCAAATTGAGGGGAAAAACAATGATCAAAAAGTGTATGTGGAGCACGATGCCACAGATTTCGTATAAAAAATAGATGAATTGAGTTTTGAATTTAAAAATAAAAGTTTATGTCACTGATATGATAAATTGAGATGAATTTTAAATACAAATTAAAATTTATTTATTTTTCATTAATATGAGATCTCATGAGATATATCATAAACGTTCTCTCTCTTCTATGGATGAAATACTTAATATAATGAGATCATTGCACAATAAGGTGAAGGAAAATTAGAGATTGAGTATGTAAGAATGAGATTATTTAAATTTTATTAACAAATTTATGAAAAAAAAAATCTTTTGGTTTGATTTAATGCATGAATTTATTTTAGAGATTGATATCGACTTGAATTGATGTAATGGTTTATTCATTGTTGGGTGAAAGACAAAAATCTCAAAAATGATATGTTCATTCATTAATAAATTGTAAAGTTGCAAAAAATCAAAGAGAAAATAGCTGAAATTGGCATAAAAGATAAAAACAAATGTTATGAAATCTTGAATTAATATTACTTGGATCATAATTTGGCTGTAGATCTAGACTGCCTCCGCTATTACTTGGATCATAATTTGGCTGTAGATCTAGACTGCCTCCGCCGTTTGACCTCAACGAAGGATGTTAAAGTTGATAATTTTGAAAGATAATAATTGATATCTCAAAACTAATTGAGACTTTTTTTCATTGAAATACAATCCATATACACTCTTATTATAAAGTTCGAATAATGGATTTACGGACATTGGTTAAAGTTAATTAAATTATTATTTTTAAAAATATTTTATCTTTTAATGAGCTATTTTTACAATTAAAAAAAGGATGAATACTATTTTCACAAGTTTATTCATCTTGATCGGCATCAATTAATTTTTTTTTACCTAAAATGCTCTTCAAATTAAAATTTATTAATATTAGATTCTAAAATTTGAAAATGTGTTGTCCTCCATTAGTCTTTCTCAATCACAATGAAAGAAACAGTGGCATCATCTGTAAAATTATTCAAAAATAATTTACAAGTTTAAACAATTTATAATTTTTTTTAAGTTAGATTCAAACTTCACTATTTATTTGATAAGTCTGAAAATCAAATTGAGATTTGGTCATCAAGCTTATTAAGCTTAACATCGAGTTTAAACAAATTTCATATCAGTTACGAAAAGAATATTAGCTATCAATACTTTGTTTGTTTAATTGTTAAATAATTTAATAATTTAATATCTGATCCGGTAATTAATATATAATTTTTATTGAAAATATAAAATACAAATCTTTTTCTCTCAATATTAAAAAAAAAAAGGTCAAATAGTTCAGGTCATTCAATTTTCATGTACACATGAAAATAAACACTTAAATAGGTGATTATGCTTACAAAAATATATTATTTGAGTTTTTTTTTTCTAAAAAAAAGGTTTGGACGAGAAACAATGAAGCAACACATAATCAAAAGGTAATCAAATAACTTCGTTTGTATAGATTTAGCATAATATTTTAAAAAGTTAATTTATAAGCTGTTTAAAAAATTTAATTTTTTTTATTATTTTATTTAATTATGTTCTTATATTTTTATTTTTAATCAAATAGATTTTTATGATTAATAGTCGATTAACTGTTTTATTCTCGAATGTACCTCTATTGATATGAATAACAAAAAATATCATGTGTTTAGTTATCATACCATATTAATATGTCACTTTACCACATATTATAACATGTTATCATGTCACATTATCACCGCATGACATATCATGACAAGTGATATTTTAACTAACAATAATTAATTAATCATTGGTGAAGACTTAATTGATTTAAAATAAAAATATAATGATTTGATTGAATGTATTAAAAAAATTAAATTTATTTATATATTTTTAAATAATTTAAGAGATTTTTAAAAATATTATGTGTATAAATTTTAACCAATTCATTTAAATTTGTTTGTCATTATTTTTAATTTTGTATTAGCGAATCAAAATTTAGTTAAAATTATTATAATTTAAAATGCAATATATATAACGTTGTCGTATAAAAAAACTATTTTCTATGGCTCACATCAATTGTGGATAATTGTACAAAAAAGTTAACTGTGCATAATAAAAATTTTTAAGTCACATGTAAATAAAATTGATTTGACTATTTGAATTTTAAATAACCTATATCTATGAAATATTGCTTATATTTTAAAAAAATTTCAAATTTAAGAAAATTTAATTTTTAAAAATTGAATACGAATCTTCTTTTTTTAAATAAAAAATTATACTCAGTAATTTTTTCAAATAAATTCTGTTATTTAGAGTTAAAATTTGAGAAATTAGAAAAAAAATATCTATTTTCTCATGGAAAAGGCCAAGAGGAAAAATATCTATATCCACGCATGTGGCGGGTCCCATTAGCTGCGGTGGTGAAAAGTGAAAACTGAGAAAAGGGTCCCACCATCTCCCCTTAACAAACCCTTCGAACCTCAGATTCGGCTCATAACCTAAGATTCCGAGCACCCGAATCTGCGCTTCGGATCTTACTCAAACTCTCGTATTTTCTCCTGTTAAAACAGTACTCTGAACTTCGATGTTTCATAAATTACAAATCTTCTAATAAAAAAACCCTAATTAGGTAATTTTCCTTTCTGTTTTTAGCTGCCAGTTCCGTAATTCGAAAGGTATCGAGCTCTGTTCTCTTTATTTTCGTCAATTTTGAGATGCTTTAAAGAAATATGTGAATTTTGATTGAATTTTTTGGAATTGTTTCTTCTTGAATTCAGAAACCAATCGTTGATCAATAAAGATCGCTTGTTCACGAGCTCAAGAATGGTAATGTAGGCTTTGATCCAGCTGAATTGCTTCCTTTAAGGTTAGTTTTGTTCAATGTAGCTTCGGGTTTTACAATTGTAATTTTTTATGGCAAAATTGAAATTTTATTTTACTTCAAACCAATTTTATGGTTGTTCGTGTTGTTTTGAACAGTTAATTGATTTGTTTTTGGGCTGAAACGATGGCGCAGAGTAATTGGGAGGCAGATAAGATGTAATTATATGTTATTTCACAAAATGAATTTTTTTTTTATTTTAATTGAGTCCTTAATTTATGTGTTCTTTTTTTCTTTTTTTGGTTGGCAGGCTTGATGTTTATATATATGATTATTTGGTGAAGAAAAAATTGCATGCCACTGCAAAGTCCTTCATGACAGAAGGGAAAGTCGCGCCGGATCCAGTAGGTAAGAATTGGCTTTGGCAGAAATGTATAAATTCTGTTTAATTAAGTCGTTCAATTGAGTGAGTGAAGATTTTTTACACGGAAAAGGACAATATTGAGTTTTTATATGAATCTGTTTTAGCCTATGTTACTCGGACTCTTTAATTCATTTTAATGTACCTGCGGGTGACACTTCTTGGACACTGTAAATTGACATAAGTATGACACTTAGATCCTCAACGTTAATGTAATTATTGCCCAAATGTGTTATTCCTGTGTCAGATGCCCAATCCCAGGTGCATGTACCATAGGTTTTATTCGGATGGAAGAATTTGTTTTGCTTTTATTTTTTAAATTAATTATGGTATGATAGGAATTTTTGCTTTGAAATTAAAGGTTATACTTGATTCTAGTCACCTGGTTATGTAGTAGTCAGTGTAGTATATTGTTGGTTGAGGGAATTTAGTTTGAGTAAGTGATTACTGATTCATGTAGAACTTGCTTATTTATCCAGCGATTGATGCTCCTGGTGGGTTTCTTTTTGAGTGGTGGTCTGTTTTTTGGGACATATTTATATCGAGAACAAATGACAAGCATTCCGAGGCTGCTGCAGCATACATTGAGGTAGCTTTCTACAACTTTAGCAAGTATTGTTGTAAATGCTTGTAAATTGTGCAATTTACATTGGTTGTTCTCAAACCATTATGGTATTTATATACAGGCACAGCAAATTAAAGCAAAGGAGCAACAACAGCTGCAGATGCAGCAGTTGCAGCTGATGCGTCAAGCTCAGTTGCAGCGTAGGGATCCTAATCATCCCACTCTGGGTGGTCCTGTAAATGCTATGGGTTCTGAAGGAATGCTTGGGCAGTCAAATGCAAGTGCATTGGCAGCAAAAATGTATGAAGAGCGCATGAAACACCCAAATGCAATGAATTCAGAGACATCCCAGCCACTTCTTGATGCTAGGATGGCCCTCTTAAAATCAGCTACAAATCATCCTGGGTAAATGTACTTGTAAATTTTATTGTAATTAACCTTTTTCTGGTTAATGACACACACACTCTCTGTCTCTGACACAGTCAGCTGGTTCAAGGAAACCATGGAAGTGTAACTGCAGCATTGCAGCAAATTCAGGCAAAGACTCTACAAACTGTTATTGCTACTTGGATAAAGATTTTCCTGCATTTGCTGCAAAATTTGCAACCTCCCTATTATACTCTTT